CGGACAGTCGGTCTGTAACTCCGGGACCTTATGATTCATAATGCGGTCCAAGTCCGTCATAATTCACCCAAGTGTTGAGAATCGACGTATCCCACCCCCCGCCCCGTATTTATAGGTGCACTTCCGCTTTCGAAAATATCCCCCGGAGGATCTCTGCGGAGTGTCTTGACCGTAGATTCCTGTCCTCCGTCACCTTCGTGGTTTTCCTCCGACCGAGGAGAAAGTCGACACGCGACGCGACGTCGGGGGTGTCTCCTCTTTGGCGTGACAAAATCCAAGAATTATCGGTTTTGATGAAAAAAAGAAAAAAAAAAGAGAGAATAGCAGCCCAGCGGGACAATTCAGGTATTTTCGATTTTGATAAAAAAATAAGGTTAAGATCGAGAAATCGGGTTACTTACGGCTCCGTCGAAAAAATGGCCAAATCGCGTTTTCTGCCCGAGGACCGTCAAGTTCCGAGTAGGAAACTTCCGAGAGCAGTTTAGCCGTGTATGCGTGTTTGCAAATCTCGGATTTAGAGGTGCGCAGACAGAGGGAGAGAGAAAGAGGGAATGTGCTGAAATTACGATCCACGAGCTGAGAGCCAAGCCGAGGGGTAGGTGGAATATTCTGAAGTGTACTTGCCCCGACTTTGGAACGGCCCCGGCTTCACTCCAGAATTCACCCCAAAGCATTGAATAAAACGAACGAGTGAATGCCTACTGTACCGACGCGAGCTTTAGGGGTCTCGATCCTGGAGGGAACAAAGACTCGGTTTGCTCTGCTCGAAGTTAGCTTAAAGAGGAAACCGGCAGAGGGAATCTGGAGCGCGGCTTCGCGCCGGCGAAGAAATACCTTTTCGGGGGCTCGATCCGCGCTTTTAAATCATTTATTTCTAATTAAAGTCGGATCCCATTTCCTCCCTCGGAGTTCGCGGCAACCAGGAGAGGTGACTCCGGAAGTCGGTGACCGAGAAACCTTAATGGTGCCTCGAATGCGAGAGAGACTTAATTAGAGATTGGCAAATCGAGCCGCAGGAGGCAGAGGGAATTGCACGGAGTGAATTATCGTCCGAGACGGTCGACCGAATCGACGCTTAGACGCACTAAGAAAAGGAAATTTCTTCGCCCCAAAGATATATTTCTTGAAATAGTACCAATGACAAATTTCGTTAATTATTCCTTGAATTAACAAAATATTCCTCTGGTTGAATGAATTTTTTTCTCTCGGCGTAGGACGCATTCCCGCAAAGAGATTTAGAAATTAACGAGGAAAGCGCATCGATTCACTTTGGCTCTCGGGAGCCCCGATTCTTAATCACCCCGACGTCTTATCAACAATCACAAGAAATAAGAAAAAGAGCCGACCTCCTTCCCGGCGGAAATCATTAAAGGAAAACGAGTTTACTCCCAAAGGGAGCGCGCCCCTCCCGGCCCGAAATCTCGGGGGATGAAATTGAGCTCCTCCGATTCGACACGATCAACTGTGGAATTGGATGAGCCAGCTGATCGGGGAATTCTCGGGAAGGAGTCGGAGAGGAAAGAAAAATAAGAGAGGAGGAACTCGGGGGTAAATTAAAATTCCCTAATTGCACTCCTCGCCGAGATTTTCCGCCTTTCGCTCAGTTTCCTCGAGCGAAATCGAGCCGACCGCCGTTTGCAAGGAATATTTCCTTGCCGAGGAAATCCAGGATTGCGACAACGTTACTTGAATTACAGGTAACGCGGAAAGCGATAATTTCAGTAAAACAAAATCCAAGTGCATCGTGGAGCCATTTTACCTCGGTGCAGTCAACTGCAGTCAACGAAGTGATGCAGAATTTTTTGACATACACTCGTCCGTGCACTTCCTAATTGGCCCGCAAATCCGACGACAATTAGTGCGAAATGTTTCAGGGTGTAAACGGTAAATGACGGTTTAGCGAGCCGGTAAATTTCGACGTTGTTTCGGACGGCCATTGATCGAAATTTTAGAGGGGACCGAAAATCGCTAGTCGGTAATTCGACGGATTTCCACCTTAAAAAAAAAAGAAGTTCGACTCAAAAAAATATTCATCGCTATATAACAAAATCCTGCAATCAAAGAAATTCGTTTAAATCAACGATACAATTTTTCTTCTCGACGGAATAATTTTTTTCGTACTTATATATTATTCAGGTAAGGATATAAATTTTGTTTCAGTCGACTAATTTTTTATCTCAGTGCAGGGAATTGCGAACGCCTTGTTACGCGGCCAACCTTCGGCCGGAATTGCCAGAATCGGATCGAACTTGGCCGGAAACTAATAACCAAGTTTCCCGTGTTTCGGAACACTCGTAACACCGACCTGCCGGCTGCGAAGTAGAGCGCCGCACCAAGTGCATTAGACATATCTACAGGGTGGCTCCTGAATGCTCGCAAGACATTTTTATATATAAAATTGTGTTTTAGCCGTTGAGTTTTTTTTTTGACATTTTATCCGCAAGGGGTTTTAGTTCTCTGCGAGGACGAAACACCTTTAGGACGAAGTGGGAGATATCCGGAAGAGGGTCGGTCCTTTTGGACCGGGAAGAGGGATCGGGTCGGATTGAAAATTTCACAGCCCGTTGAGGATCGGGCTGAAACTGGGCGGAAAATGACGGTTCGCCACTTTCAACGGTTCCTGAGTGCGGATTCTCCTTATTGCAACGGAGCAACAGAGTCGAGCAGCGCTTCGTGGCCACTGCGGAAAGACTTGGGTGGGCTATCTATAGAAGCTCGTGTAACCGAATGGAAACCGAGTGTCACTCATGGGTGACAGTGAGCATTAATACAGATCTGCTTAATGCTCCGTCGCGTGTCCGGCATTAATCTACTTAAAAATACCTATATCTTCGAGGATCGCCGCCCTACCACTTTAGACCGCGCGTACAAGAAGCGCCTCCACCAAACCCTAAACAAAAGCTCAGTAGCACCACGGGAAAGGCATCATCGGATTTATCTCCGAGTTTCCGGAAGACTTTCGGAGCTTGGTATGGATATAAATGTAACTCTTTCCTACGGAGATGGAACAAGGAATATTCCGGGTCAAGGCTCAGGAGGCGTCAAGGAGTCTGTAGAAAAATTACCGGCTTTCCGGGATGCTGGATACAGGGGACGCGTTATCCTCGGTTAACAATGCATCCCCCGGTGCATAAAATAGCGCGATGCAGCGAGAGCAAATGTGTCTTACGTGCGATTCGCCGGGGGAGAAATACGGACGCTGGGAGGCTTCTTGCCATTTTTCCAGCCCTCCTCCTCCACCCTGGAGGAGCATAAACTTGCACTTTCGCGCGGTAAAAATGGCTCGTTAATTTTTCAGCCCGACCGATCATCGAGTTTACGAGGAGAGAGAGGTAATTGGACGTTCTCGATTCGCCGGGGCTCGACGATATTTTTCTTTTCCCCGGTGGGATAAAAATCGGAGACGAAGTTGTCGGGTGAATGGTGTCGGGCCAGACGGAGAAATTTGGTGATTAATTTACGTGAGAGCGAGAAGAAATCAACCTGGCCAATTAGCGCGTCCTCCTTTGACTGACTCTAACCGTGTGTCGAAAATAAAAGAGGCACATCGCGAAAAAGGAAACGGAGGCGAGTCAGTTCGAACCACCCTTTAAAACGGCGGGGGATGGCAATTGCCTTTGATTTGCGGCAGCAAAACGAAGGTGAAAAATCGGGGAAAGATGCGAGAAGGGAAAGTCTCGAGGAAAGGAAGGGGGATGGACCGGTTGCAAAAGGGAAATGCCTTGGTGGGCAAAAACGGTCAGTGCACTTATTGCACACGAGACCAGTCCGAAGACCGAGGGCCTTATGCTCGGCAGATGTGGCCATTTTTTCGGCCCCACCAGACCTTGGATCGCTTTTTCCCTCGAACGGAGTCCCGATCCGAGTCGGGGTTTTGCGCCCCTAAATCGACTGCACTTGCAGCAAAGAAATTGCCCCAGGGAAGAGTTCATTCCCAATTAAACTCCATTCATGAATCCCGAAGTCCAAATCTTCGTTACGACTAAAACCGTGGAAAATTAATGGTAGTTAGCAGAATCTTTTTTACCGACGTCGATCAAATTTCTCGATGTGTTTCACTTTACCTTAATCGAGTCTCTCGGCATCCTTAGGATGTTTTCTCCTCCCCTTATTACGAAATGATATCGACAGGGTGGACGTAATTACAACTAATTGGTTCCATGTCGGGAGCGACACGCCACCGAGCATTAATTGAGAATTCCGGCGACGTGACCAGACTGTGCCGTCGAATGGGATCGATCTTTCGATCCATCGATGACCGATCGGACCTACTCGAATGCGCTTTCGTACCTCCGATCGCGAGAGGAATTCGACGCCTGTCACTCATCGCCCGATCAAATTCATTTCCTGTCCGGAAATTCAAGATGGCGAAAGTTACGCCAGAATGGAACTCGTTACCCGAGGGGCAGAACGCCGGAAACGTGAAATTTCGTTTCGTAACATATCTGCTCCCTAAGAAGGGATTTCTCGAAATTCAGCCCCTAAGAGGGCGAAAAGGGGTAAAATGAGTTTTTACACATTTCCACTTGCACATATCGCGGGGCATGCTGGTTTTACATAAGAGTTTCCAGGGTCTATCGATTCGACGTTATAGAGATGGTTAATGCCGGCGCAGAACTCGTTAGCCGATAATAAGGAACCGAAACGTCGGCGAGTGACGAAGGTCTGTTTTCGGTAAAAGCATTTACGAAGAAGGGTCGCGGAGAGAGAGAGGGAGAGATCAGTCCGGACGGTGGGAAGAGCGAGATAGAGGGTGTCATCAATATTCGTCAGAAGGCGATAAAGTGACGGGGCTTTAAGGGGAGGGACCGGGCCGAGGTGTCCTCCTCGATTCCAACCCCCGGGGTAGGCTCTCCGAAAATCTTCCGAAAAAGTGACGAGGATCCCCGATAATACCCCCTTCACGTCCACCTCGGAATTTGATTTATGCTCATCCCGGGGAAATTGAAAACACATGCAAGTCGGGGTGCAATCGCGTTCATCCCGGGGATAGAACTCACCGTTGATGGGCTGAAACCTCGCCAGAGGATCCGAGAATTGACGAAGCCTGTCGGTGACATATTGCGGCGAATCTCCGTTCTGAAAAAGAAATATTTCGCGTTGTAAAAAGGAAATTTCCTTTCTTCGATACTTATCCCTAATACGCCTTTTTCTAATAGGCAAAGATTACCCCCGGAAGCCCTCTTTTCCAATATAAACTTTCCCGAGTTAGTCTTCATTACGCGATAACGGACCTTAAACCTGCCAGCAGTTATTTCCACGTTAACCCACTTTAAGGCCGTAATGCATTAGCGACGACGCGTCGTCAAGCCGTCCCCCTTGGAATCTGTCGATAACACTTTACTAGTAGTGGTTAATATAAAAAGCGATAAGGTGAAAAATCAAGTTGTCCATCCGGCCGACAAGATGGCACCTTTGGGACTCGGTGCCGTCTCCGAACTCCAAAGAAATTTCTCCAGGGCTCGAGAGGCGCTCAAACAATTAACCTGCAGAGGGACCGCTCTCCCAAAAATTGGGGGATTTCTTATTAAACTAAGGAAGGGAGTTAGGGGGTCGGGAAAGATCATTGGGAAAGTTTTCCGGAAAATTGTCCGAAGAGCCGAGGCGTGACAATCTCGTCCCTGTGGCGTCAGATGTAACGAATGGCCCTCTTTTCTGTCGAGCAACGCTTATTGATTTCCTCCTTTACGGGCCGCCCCGGACGATTATTCTTGCCATTGTTACGACCATCGATACGCGCGATACCATAAATAACGCAAACTCGAAATACCGAGAGATTATAAGAAACGACTCGCGGAGGGACTTTGAAGTACTCCGTAGAGAAATTAACTTAATTATTATTTTACATTCCCCATTACGTAATGGCGGGTTTAACTGGCCCTCTCGCCGTGGTATGGCTCTTGAACGGCGAAATTGTTTATAATTATTTCCAGCGAGGCCTTTTCCAGAGGAGAAGCGTCATTCTCGGTGTCGCGAATCGAGTTTAACAAAGTGTGTAAAATGGCGCCCGTCGCGGTCGTCCGGGAGGAAAAAAGGGAGTTTTCCTTCAGAGCGTCTCTTTGCGCGCCGTTCGCACTTGGCTGCCACCCAGGTCTGACAGTTTTGACAGCGGTCCTCTGGGCAGCACTAATGACAGTCACGGAGACGCCCCGGGTAAAAATGGCCCCTAGGGTCTCTCGCGAAGGAGCGAAAAAAATGATTAAAGAGGGAAAATATAAGTGGGAACGGTAATATTTGACAATTCCACCCCTGCTTTTTGTCGTTCCCGTGGTACAGGGAGCAAAAAAGAGCCACTTTGAAAACTCCTCGTCTGTCAGCGTTCGCGCCTCCTTGCTGCACGGCCCTGACAGTTTTGACAGCGCGGCTCCGGTCAAAAGACGCGGGATCCAAGATGGCGGCGCAGGATACTTCGGTTCGGGAGAATGTCCCTCGAATAAAAACGCGGATGTGGGTGTCACAACATCGTAAACGTGAGCCTAGTCGGGCGCTGCAATTCACGGGGGCAGTTAACCAGATTTTTATAATCCTCTCCTGCACGCCGACTCCTATATTTGGCCGGGGGTCTGGCGAAGCCGCCGATAAAAAGTGCAACGGCGTCGTGGACAATGTCGAAGCCGCGCAAACTGTCCTAACCTTATGTACCAAATGTGGATGAATTTTAGGAATATTTTCCACAGGGTATAAAACGTGCCGAATGATGCCCAAGCATGGTTTCTTCTATAAAACGTATAATGTACGTCGATTTTAGTTAGGTTCGACCTCTTAACCAAAGATCCAACGGCGCCTCGAGGCGGCCATCTTGGAATTTCTTGCGGACACCTGCGGAGGCTTTGGGAATATTATGGAAATATATACCTTCTTACTTCGTTCCCTTAACGAATACAGAATAATTCGCGTAGGTGTATGTAATTTTTTATTTATAACGCATAACGAATTCGTTTCTCGTCCGCCCTTAAGGGTGACGCGCTCGGTGGACCAAAATGGCGTCGCGCTTCCGCTCGCGACCGAGGCCAGGCGGACCGCGACGGTTTTCGCGAGACGAGGGCCGCAAATAGAATGAATCAGTGGACAAGCCCTCGCGTAAGGCTCGCCACTGTTAATTCTTCGAGTAAATTGCGCGCCGCGACGGACCCGCGACTCGACGGGCCGCCATTGTGCCCGGCGTCGACCGACGCGTCGCGCGCATTCCTGCTCCCTGGTCCCCGCACTTAGCCTCGCGATTTGTGGCCCTCTCTAAACCGGAGGACGGAAACTCGCGACGGGACGAGTTATCCCTAGATTACTTCTGTAAGTGGCGCGTAATCGGTTACAGCCCTCGTGAATCGCAAGAGTCGCGACGAGGCTCCCGCAAATCGAGGCGATCTGGGACTCGATTCTCCAGTTTATGGGAATTTTTTTCCCGCACAGATAGATTCGCGTGAGAAAATTTCGCATTGTTGCTAAGTCAACGTTTCAAAGTCGTGGACGAAAATGTCAATTTTTCCCGCAAAAGTTGGTCGTACGAACTCGAAATTCGGGTCCCTAGCTCGGGATCGACGATAGACGTGCACGGAAAAAAAAAAAAAATTATTTGGTTACAATTACTATAGCGACATGCATCTCCATTTTCTAGCAATCGCGATATTGTCGCCATAATAATATCTCACGGGGTGCGCGTTTAGTGCCGCGATTTGTACGGTAAACTGGACGACGGTAACAGCCGTCACTTGACATGGCGTGCTTAGTCTCTTTATTGTCTCCTTATTGTTGGCCTCGAGGTATCGCGGTCGTTCCTCTCGGCGTCCGCGGCGTGCTTTACCATAATGAAAGCTGCCATTGTTGGCAGGCGGGACTTTAAACCGAAACCATCTTGGATTATTAAGCGACCGCCAACGGAGAACGCGAATTTCCAGCTCTCGACGCGCCAGACGACGAAATGGCTTCCCAGGAGAAAATTACCGAATTTCGGTGATCTGCCCCCACAGGCTGTCGGAAATCTCGGGCGTTGTTTTAAAACAGCCAGGAGAGAGGGGGAGAAAAAAAGGGGGGAAACCGAAAATGGGAGAGATTTTTCGCGTATGCCGTTTTCTGTTTGCTCGGTCTGCGGCAACGATGCGGCGATGCATCGGAGACGCGTTTGCTCTCCCCAGGGAAATAATCTCCATTATTCATGGGGCTGTCCGCGTTTTGTTTATTCATTAAATAATTTGCTCGGCGAGATTGAACCCGAAAATCCGCCGTTTAAACGGCGAACTCTGGTAGGCTCTCCGTGTTGATAACGAGCGATCGATCTTCCCTCCGTATCACGGCCTCGTCGCCTCCGAGGGGACCTCTTATTATTTTTGACCAAAGCATTCCCTCCCTTCTCAAGATCGTCTTCCCCGAGACTGCGCTCGGAAAAATAACGACGCGAACGATATCGGGTAATATCCTTTTGACGAGAAAGAAAGACCGAAGGGGGAGAGAGGAACCAGTGTCGGGAAAAATTGCAGCATTGTTGGCCTCCGACCTTTTCGCGAATGCCGTTGTTAGGAATCCTCTATCGAGATTAATAAGCTTTCTTCGAGGGACTATTCACACGGAAATCAGTGAAAACGATTTCCTTCCTTCAGAACCGATTGCTTTTGAGCTCCTTTGACAAACAACAATGCGATTCGGTAACAGGTGACGGTCGGCCTTAAAATTGTGGCAACGTTTTGGTGATTTTCAACGATTTTTAGCTGATTACCACGCGATTCTGCGCATTAAAATCTGCGATTTTCTGAGTGAAAGCTCCCTCGACTTTCTTCCTGGCTATTATTTCCGCCCTTTTTTCGCTCCAAAGGGATGTTACAATTTTTAGTCGAAATCGTCGCAGCTTCGAAACGCTCGTATGGATCTTGGGGGATTTCCCGTTTCCACGTGCGTGCGCGGATATTTTATTTAACAAATGAAATATTCGGCAGGCAGGCCCAGGAGAGTAATATCGTCGATGTGGGACTTGGAGTGACATCAATACTTGCCGGGCGGTCTATATTTCACCCGGCTAATTCATTATGAAACAACGCAGTGTTTTAATGGACGCCAAAAGTCACCGACGCGTTTGCGCCTCGCAGATTTCATTTACTCCGAAATCGCGAAAGCTTTTCCGATACCAGTAAAATAGCTGGAAGCTTTTCCCTTCCGGCGAGCCGGCTGGAATTTCTTGAATTCGGAGCACGTAATATCCTTGTAATAAAAAGGAAAAGAAAAAATGTAACGAAAATGCATCAATCCTTTAAAGGACGAACTCGTTTTCTTGGATCGAGGGTCGAGTTCTTGGCGCCTTTCGTATCACCTTAAGATCGATATTTACGGAGGTAAATGCGTGTTCGGATACCATTTTGTCGCGAGCTGGATATCCAAGAGCTTTCGAGCTCGCTTTGGGAAACATCGTAAACCTCGAAGGATACGTGGACGATTCCAAGCTCCTCTAAATTGCGTGAATTATTCCGCACGGCCACTTCTGGAAATAAAGTGCCCCGGGTTGCTCGAGCTATCCGAGCGATTCGAGTCATCCGAATCATTCGACATGATCGATGGACATTTTTCTCCCCCCCCGATGTTCCCAAATTGCACTCTCCCTGTTCCTCGACGAGAGGAGGATGCATCGAACGCATCGGGGAGGATGCTAAAATCGGGATGCCGATCACTGTCGTTGACAATTGACGATTGAGAATTGACGCTCGACCTCCCGTCACCAGGAAATTATCGACCAATCGATATCGAGACACGATGGATTCCGCCCAGTATTGGGAATCGCGTGGCCGAATGGACGCGCATAAATGCATCCAGGGTGGCTGGATTATTCGCTGATAATTCAGAGCATAAGATCTCGTCCAACGATGACGAAGAACCCGGATAGACAAAGGGATGCAAGTTGCATTAAATTTCCCTCGTGCCTCAAATGTCATATTTAGTCCACATTTGTAGCATTAACTAACTTCATACAGTGGCCACAAGTTTAATGCCATGGGACGATGCTATAGCTCTTGTTAAATTTTCCATTAATGTCGGTTGCGGCATAACTGACATATGACTCAAGTGTGCGGTAAATATATTGCTGAAACCATTTATGACAA